GAGTCGGTACAATAATCTTGGACCGCTTTATTGACCCGACTGGTTTTGAGCCGGTACAATAATGTTTGACCGCTTTATTGACCCGACTGGTTTTGAGCCGGTACAATAATATTGGACCTCTTTATTGACCTGGCTGGTTTTGAGCCGGTACAATAATGTTGGACCGCTTTATTGACCCGGCTGACCATATTTTGTTTTGGCTGTGAGCCTTAAGAATTAATGTTCAGCTTTGAAACCTCATGTATAGTAGATTTTTATGCTGCTTTATATCAAATATTCAAAGTTTGAATTGTGATGGGTTTACACCATCAGGATGCAAATAAACAGTAAGCCCTAAATTCGTGGACAGTTGGACACCATAATGTTGATATTAAGATTTCAAGAAGTCGGTGGTAGCGGGGGTAGTGGGATATCAAAAATAAAAATTCTCTAAGAAATTTTTTTTTCAATTTCCAATTACCCTTACTACCACCACTACAACCAACTTTTTAAAATCTTAATATCAACATTTACTCAAGAATTTTTTCAATTTCAAACTTTAAAATTTAAAATTTTACTGTTTTAACTACCTTCTATTTATCTGACATAAAGCTATTGTGAAAAATAAGGCACTTTATACATACAGGGCTCCATATTCAATGAAAATTGTGAATCAATGCTTTATTTTTCAATAAAGCTATATTTCCAGGGTATATAATATAGAACAAGAATACATTATTTTCACCCTCTACAAGGTCTATATAAGATGGAGTCGAATTTATTGCTTATTCTTAGGCCCGAATTAAGAATTAGCTGACGACAGTTTGTATCACATGATTGACAGCTCTTACTCCCGGCTCAAATATTAAACCGGTTTAAGAAACCCAACTCTTGGAAACATTAGTTCCAACTAAAATCCCTAAGCTCGAGTCTTAAATTAGTATAAATGACAGCTTAGTCGTGAGTCTTATTTTCCAGATTTTTCTGATAGCAGCTGCTCAATATTAATAGGGTTGATCAGTACCTGGGTATTTGTGTAGAAAAGCCAACACCTTGTCCTGCTGTTTCCTGTTTAGAATTATAGCTGGGTCTTTCAACCTTAGAGTCCTGCATCAAATACTGCGTAGAATACCCGGCAGTTTGTTCTTGAATCTTCTGCGTAGAACTTCTAAAATCAGTTACTCCCTGATAAATCATAACAACTTGATTTAAAGAAATGATGGTTCTAAATGAATTTGTTCCATGGCTAGCCGAAGTAATACCTTGATTCATAGCTACGCTTGTGTCCCTGTGTGGCATTTAGAGACTGAATAATAGCTAGATTGATAAGCTACGCTTGTGTCCCTGTGTGGCATTTAGAGCCTGAGTAAAATCGTGGTAGGGTTTATTACCTGTCTATTCAATAAATCATCTTTATGCCGAGGTTCAGAAAACCTTGTTTCTCTCTCCCTAAATTTCAAACTTTTTGACGCAAAAATGTGAAAGCATTTGATAGAAAGATATACAGTTTAAAGTTTCTTTTAAAGAAGAATTGTGAAAGGCTCTAGATTACTAATATCTAAGTTTTTAATATAAAATTTTGAGAGGAAGTTTTCCAAGTTTTATTCGGATGGTGGTAACTGTAACACGATGCTAATTAACTATTTAACTAGATTAAATAGTTTAAAATTTCCCTGAAAACTTCCCCATCTTGGTGTTCAATATCATGGGCGCCTAAACAATGATATAAAATAATATAATTTTAGCAAAAAATAAAAGTAATTCATAAATTTAAGTAAAAAAAAATCAAAAACCGTAAAACGTTATTTGACAAAAATTAAAAAATAGAAAAGTATATTTTCCCTGGATTTTAAGTAACGCCTGTATTAAAATGGTCTAAAAATAGAGAATCCAGCGAACGAAACGTTTCGCGGAAAAATGCAAAAATTTTCGGTCGCATTTTTTCAAATTTTTTGCAAAATTTCGCGAAAATAAATAAAGCGAAATTCGCAATAATGTTTTTCGCGAAATGCGAAAATTTTGTGAAAACTTTGAGTTTTATAGCTGCAACAATTATTTTGTGTTAATTCATCAATTTGGCTCGCGGATCCCTCTTCGTTAATGAGTCTTGTATTCTCAAAAGTTAGTATTTTTTGATGAATTTTCTCAACCTATTCACTAAAATTTTGCATTTGTTTTTAAAAATTCTGTTTTTTTTCGCGAAATTTTCGTGTTTTTTACATAATTTTCATTTTTTACGCGAAATTTTCGCATTATTTTTTCGCGAAACAAATTTTCTCATTCTTTGTGAGCGAACAAAATGCAAAAATGAAGCGCAGTGGTCGTAAGAAAAATGTTCGCGAAATTTTTGAGGAACGATTTTTCCTTTTCGCTGGAAAGTTTAAAATATAAAAAGTCATTATCTGTTTAAAATATAAATAATGTAACTTTCAAGTTGCGTAAACATATTTTTACTTTTTTCCTTACAGTTTGACATCAACTTATTTTTTTTGATTATTTACCTAGACTTTGTCTCGAAGAATGTACTCTGAATGCGTTAGAAAACGTATTTTCTTCATTTCTAGAAATACAACTTTTAAGATTGATACTTCTTTTCCTAGAGTTTGTAAAGAAAATTAGCATTATATTTATATATAAGTTCTTCTCTTGCAATAAAAAAAGTTTAACTGTCTAAGTAATATTATTAACTCTAAAAAGTCTGGGGGTCTAAAGCGCATTCACGAGGGCTCAAAGTCATGCCAATAATGAATATAAAATTTTTAAACCTGTAATTATTTCCTTGTGTAAGGCGCAATTCTTCCAATATAGCTGGGGGGGTGTCATAAAGAGGGGGAAAAGTTCTGAAAATATAAAAAAAAAATATTCAAAAAACGAAAAACTCAGTTAAAAAAATATATCTTATCTATTTTATCTAATTGTCGATATTTTGTCCATAAACCTGGATTTATGTTAGTTGATTAGCCGTTTTGACGTTTATGTGAGTTAATTAGCCGTTTTGACGTTTATGTGAGTTAATTAGCCGTTTTGACGTTTTTGTGAGTTAATTAGCCGTTTTGACGTTTATGAAAGTTAATTAGCCGTTTTGACGTTTATGTGAGTTGATTAGTTGTTTTAACGTTTATGTGAGTTGATTAGCTGTGTTGACATTTATGTGAGTTTATTAACCGTGTTGACGTTTAACGTTAAATGATTAGCCGTTTTAACGTTTATGTGAGTTAATTACCCACTTTGACGTTTCTGTGAGTTGATTTGCTGTTTTGACGTTTATGTTATTTGATTAGCCGTTTTGACGTTATATATATATATAGATTATTTAAGAAATAGGTAAATAACCTGTTTTTTAAGTTTTGTATTCTTTGTTTTCCTAGTTCATCAGCTTCTCCGAATCGGACTAGATAGAGTTCAACAATTTTTGTTAATTATAATTAGAGCTGGAGTCAAGTTATCAGGCTCATTCTAAAAACCATCCAGGCAGTGTGCACACACCTAGGAACATAAAACGCGCAAAAAATGTGCACAAAACGCGTTATGTCCATCACACGCTGGTTACACTTGACGTGCTGGTACAAGGAAACACTGGAACAATCAATACCAGCACTGGTGCGGATCCTGCAACAATCCGGTTCATCATGTGATAGTTTTATATAGTTTTATACCTGGCTCTGTTGGTTCGGATCATGCAACAATCCGGTTCATCATGTGATAGTTTTATATAGTTTTATACCTGGTTCTGTTGGTTCGGATCATGCAACAATCTGGTTCATTATGTGATAGTTTTATATAATTTTATACCTGGTTCTGTTGGTTTGGATCATGCAACAATCTGGTTCATCATGTGATAGTTTAATATAGTTTTATACCTGGTTCTGTTGGTTCGGCTGGAAGTGGTTTTCTATCGTAATCTTGAAGTAATCCGACCTAGAAATACACTTTAAAGAGACTGTGCTCGTAATTTCAAATTTAAAGGAACTGTTTCTCGTAACCTTCTTTTAAAGAGTACAATGCCCGATTCACAACAGAAATACGCGCGCAAGTAACTTTGGTGGACGAAGCCGAAGCAATGCAATTGAAAATAATTAATTTTTGAAATTAATTTTTTTTTATCTAAGAAAGCTTTTATGGGTACCATTGTGTATCTGACTTACCCCTCTCTATACATGAAGTATCACTTGAAATTTAATTAAAGGGAGTGGCCGGCAATATATGGTAATTGAACTGAGAATGTATTATTGTGGAGAAGTTTTTAGGATCCATTTGAGACATTTAAAACGTTTTATAATTACTGAGTTTGAGGGCAAAGTCTACGTTCAAAATCATCCATTTGGTTGGTTACGTTTTGAGAATCGATTTTTTAAAATAATTAAATAACGACGAGGAAAAATGTATCGAAAATTCTACAGTAAACTAATTAGATGTTTAGGAACATATTACTCTATAGAAAGGAATTGAGTCTTTGCAACAAATCCCAATTTTCCAATCCCTATATATCTTGAACCAAATTATGTAAACCTTAGATATTTCAAACTTTCATTATTTTATATAACAGAAGTCAAAGTTTGAAATATCTAAGGTCTGCAACATTGGGTTGTTAAGATATAGGGATTTAAAAACCAGAGTTTGTGGCAAAGACTCAATTCCTTTATTGGCAAAATAGTTTTTGCTTTGTTTGCAATATTAAATTAATCTACACAAAAAGCAAAAATCTAAATAAATTAAAAAATTGTGTAGGTTTAAATATTTTTGAAAAGAAAATTATAGTACAAAATATGTATCCTACTATCTCCGTGTACTGCACTACTCCATACTGTTTTAAATTGCAATTTCAACTGCAAAAGAGTATCTAAAATCCAGGTAAAGGCAACACAATATATTAACTATTTATTTAGCCTTAACAAAAAAAACAACGTTTGTTTTTCGTTAAACTTTAAACAAAGTTTACATTTCGCCTAGAGATGTTCATTTGGAATCTTTCAAAGAGCTTTGTAATATAAAGAGGAGGCATTGGGATTTATACGCAAAACCAGACGCCTCAATTGGGTTCAATATTATAAAAAACCCATAGAATGTCGTCTTTTCTATAATTTAAAAAGATTTCGATCACAGAAAACTTCCGTTTTTACGTAATTTGCCGTTAGAAATTCATAACCTTATTTTCTTTTTAGATTAACTTTATCTTAAAACAGATTGCAATGTAATTGGTTTAAAAAATTTGGCTACTTTAAACCAAGGGTTTTCCGGGCCTTGCTCACGTTACTGGCCTAAAATGCTGCTTTAGACTATTACAAAACTATACTTAATGACGTCTCTTTAACAAATTTTGTTTTAAAATATGTGGTATTTTTCATACAAATCACATTTTTAGCTTTTTTTTGGCAGGGGAGCATCCTATAACTGATTAAAACAAATTTAAAAGTTTATAGCCGTGTCGTTATTTTCCCACCATTTTAGCACATACAATGATTAATTTATTTCATAGCTAGAGTTTAATGCTGATTGTTTGAATTCAAAACCAATACTGCAGCCAATGACGATATATAAAAATGTACAGATGCGTACGCTCCACTATTCGGAAAAATTCCTAATACTATTCTACCGTCTTTGGAATCTATATACAATCGTTGGTAGCAAATAAAAGAAATAATATTTTCTTGGTTATGTCGCATCATGCTCTAAATATAGAGTTTGAAATGGAGTACAAAGATTTGAAATTAAATCAAATTTTCCACAATCCTCTTAATAGAAAAGGATTAAAGGGGGATATTTTGTTTCATATTTACCAATAAATTCATTGTGAAAATTTTTTGTTTTACAATAATAACGAAAAAAATCTGATTTTATTTTTTTTTAGTTTTCAAATAGTTTTTTTTTAAATAAATCAAAAAGTTCTGGTCTGAGGCTGTTGACATTTTCTGGCTTTTCATAAATACCCATAGCCTTCCCTCTAGACCTATAACCGGGCCTTTATACTAACTGCTTGAGTCCTCAGGCACACTGCCTGAATGACTACTTTTTCCTATAACAAACTAACTCTTTGTTTTGACCCACTTTCAGTTGTCAGATTTTGATAATTTTTAGCTTTTTTAAAAGCCTACAGTATAATGAAACCAACGAATTTGCTTATTAGCAATGTCTTTGAATTAAATTGATTGCAAAGAAATTTGTTCATTTACATACAACTTAAACATTCCTGGTTTTTCTTAATTAAAAAATCAGGTTATTTAAAATTTGCCAAATATTTTTGCATATTTGAAATGACATGGTCGAGAGCTTTTCATATTGGTTCTGAGTAGTCAACAAGCACGTTCGTGGACTCTGATCGGTTAAGACGCAACCAGAAAGTTAAAACAAGGTTGGTTCGAATTATGCAACAATGTCCTATTTAATGGGAAACATTAGATAAAAATTAATTTTAGGATTGAACCGGTATCTCAGGTAAGAAATAAGTCTGTAATTTTAATAAAATAAAAGTTTATTTATTTTACATGTGTATTGTAAAATTCAATTGTATAAAGAAATTATTCATGAAATACAAAATGGTTTCTATGTTTGTGAATAAAATTCATATAGTTTGTATTTTTGCATAAAATTTATCTCAAGCAACAAAGACAAAGAAGTTTTCAGGTTTGAACCAGGTTTGAACCAAAAAAAAAATATATTACAATTTTAGAGAGTTCGTTAATTCAAAACAAGAGAGTGCGTAAATTCAAAACAAGAAAGTGCGTAAATTCAAAATAGAGAGTGCGTAAATTCAAAATTAAAGAGTGCGTAAATTCAAACTAGAGAGTGCGTAAATTCAAAACTAGAGAGTGCGTAAATTCAAAACTAGAGAGTGTGTAAATTCAAAACTAGAGAGTGCGTAAATTCAAAACTAGAGAGTGCGTTAATTTAAAACTAGAGGGTGCGTAAATACAAAACTAGAAAGTGTGTAAATTCAAAACTAGAGAATTTGTAAATTCAAAACTAGAAAATGCGTAAATTCAAAACTAGAGAGTGCGTAAATTAAAAACTAGAGAATGTGTAAATTCAAAACTAGAAAGTGCGTAAATTCAAAACTAGAGAGTGCGTAAATTCAAAATTAGAGAGTGTGTAAATTCAAAACTAGAGAGTGCGTAAATTCAAAACTAGAGAATGTGTAAATTCAAAACTAGAGAGTGCGTAAATTCAAAACTAGAGAATGTGTAAATTCAAAACTAGAAAGTGCGTAAATTCAAACTAGAGAGTGCGTAAATTCAAAACTAGAAAATGTGTAAATTCAAAACTAGAGAGTGCGTAAATTCAAAACTAGAGAGTGCGTAAATTCAAAACTAGAGAATGTGTAAATTCAAAACTAGAGAATGTGTAAATTCAAAACTAGAAAGTGCATAAATTCAAAACTAGAGAGTGCGTAAATTCAAAACTAGAGAGTCCGTAAATTCAAAACTAGAGAATGTGTAAATTCAAAACTAGAGAATGTGTAAATTCAAAACTAGAGAGTGCGTAAATTAAAAACTAGAGAATGTGTAAATTCAAAACTAGAGAGTGCGTAAATTCAAAACTAGAGAGTGCGTAAATTCAAAACTAGAGAGTGTATAAATTCAAAACTAGAGAGTGCATAAATTCAAAACTAGAGAGTGCGTAAATTCAAAACTAGAAAGTGCGTAAATTCAAAACTAGAGAGTGCGTAAATTCAAAACTAGAGAGTGCATAAATTCAAAACTAGATAGTGCGTAAATTCAAACTAGAGAGTGCGTAAATTCAAAACAAGCTTATTTGGTCCAGACGTTTGTCCAGCAATGATATTTACTGTCATAATTTCTTGATAGATTTTAAAGAGTGTAGATATTAAAAAGAAGACTTAAACGAGTGAAAGCCCAAACCCGAAAGTAAAATCACGCAACCACTCAGAGACCAATGCAACTGTACAATATGAAGACGACTTTTAGACTCAATTAACGTTTTAAATAGTCCAATAAACAGGAAACACAGCACTTTTACATTGTATACTGTATAAGCACACCGTATAACACTACAAAGCCCCATTGATGTCTTAATGTCGTCTTCCTATTCTACAGTTGTATGGATCCCACTGGACCTAATTTTATTTTACCCTAGTAGGCATCCCCCCCCCCTCCCCTCCTTCTCGTTTCTGAATTAAGAGAATTGTATTACTTTTATTCGACTGTATTGTATTATTATACTATTACTTTATATAAGAGTAGAACATGATATTCCACTTATCAATATAATATTCATACATACAAATACATTTATTTACCACCACTTAATAAAGCTACTGAGGTTTAGTCAAGTGTAGTCATATTATTCAAGTGATATCAAGCGCAACTGTGGAATTTTGTCAGGGGGGGGATTTAGTTCAGTTTTCAAACCTGTCTGTTTTAAATCCTAGAACACCGACTTAATTTCAATTATTAATTACTAAAATAACTTAGCATTGATTTAAGATTTCTAGGGTTTATAACTATTGTTTTTTTTTTAAATCCATCCCATTTATTTCTTTAATGCAGGTCCCACAAATAAACCAGCTCTTAATAAAGGAGGGGAAATGATTTTAAAATAAAAAAGATTTATAAGTGATGAGTTTTATCTAATCATAGATGGGGCGGGGGGGCGGGGGGGGGGGGTTGCCTTCTTTTAACAACATTTTTTCACAACTATTAAGCTGATCAAGGGAAGAAGTTTGAACGTTCTAGATTCTAAAAATGCTGTTCTTAAGTTATGGAGAAAAAACAACAGACCCCCCCCCATGGTGATAGGGTTAAACCTAAAATGTTACCTGAACAATAAGTCCAACTAGAACTGTTGCTCCTAAACCTAGATTATGTTTTATTTAAACAAAAAAATAGTTATTTTTTATAAAACCTAGAATTTTGGACGGTTTTCGCATACCTGCACTCCATTCCTTTAGGTAAGTAGAAAACCCGACTCCGCATCCTTGTTTAAAAAATATTCCTCCTGCATGATACCTAAAAATACCATTACAGTAAAGACCAAAAAAGCTGTGGAAGTTATGATTCTACTGTAAAATGCCCGTATTGGCAAAAAAGCTTTTTAATCTTATAGCAAATAGAAAAACTCATGGGAATCGAAATTTCGATATATTTTTATATCCTCATCAGTTCTTAAAGAATGGTTGTATGGTTTAGTTTGTTCAATGAATACACATAAATTCAGCCTGCTTATAAACAGTATCATCAATTTTAAGACAGGGTCGACTTTGAAGTGTCGCAACGCCTTGGGCTTAGATTTTACCGCTCCAATGGTTTTAGCTATGGTTTTTAAGGAGTAGTTGGTAAAATTCTCATAGTTTTTTGCATAAGAGCGTTGGACCTTTAAATCACAATGAACACGAGAACAACGATTTTGCACTGTACACAAAGTCATTTAACGTATATAATAATATAATTTTCAAGCTACTAGTAAAAATATTCGCTTGGAAAAAAAATCAAACACACATAAAATTGCTTCTTTTGTATTCTAGTAAACTTTTCCAAGTTTTTCAAAAAGAATGTAATTGTGTGATACATTTTTCATCCATTCTTTTCTTTATTCTAACACTTTTATTGCCCAAAATCTGTGAAATTGGACGACATATGTTAGACTCAATTAGGGTTTCCAGCGCACGCACACTTACGCCAAAAAATGCGAAAATTTTCGTTCGTATTTCGAAAACTTTTTCGAGAAATTTCGCATTTTTTCGCGAAAACGAATAAAGCAAAAAATGCGAAAACGATGCAATATTTCGCCAAAAAATAATTTTGCCAAAAAAATCCACGAAAACCATAACTGCAACAATTAATTGTGAAAGAAAGCTTGTGGATATCTCAGCTCTGAGTAGTTTTATGATACCATAATTAATAATTTCTTTTCCGTAATTTTTTCGCATTTTTCCCCCCAAACTTTTTGCCTTTTTATCTTTCAACATTTCCGCAAAATAAATTAAATCGAAATATTCAAAAAATTTTGCATTTTTCGCGAGCGAATTTTTCGGGAAAAATTTTGGTTTTCGCGAAAATTGCGATTTTTTGGCGAAACGATTTACTCTTTTCGCTGTAAACCCTAAACTCAAATTTTGATTTAAATTTGTATATCATTAATTTCAATTGAAGCTGAACTATTAAAATTAGAGTTATAATTTTCTTTCAATAAGCTAGATTTGAAAAATTGACCACAAATACACATTGTAACCCTATACCTTTACTATTTTACAAAGGGGGTCTTCGGACGCCCCCCCCCCCCATATATAGATTTGGACCCCCTAGACCCTCCAGTTAATAATTATTGCATTCTTTTTCCAAAACTCTGAAGGTTCAAAAAAGGTGTTTGTCACAATTATAATACTTGTAACTGCACCTTAAAAAATTACCAAAGTTTAAACTTTATTTTTATAATAATTGGGTAATTTTATATTTACCGATCAATGCAAGCATTTGGTGGAGATCTGTCATACATTAGATAATCATCAGGGCCCCGGGCACCACAGCATTCAACAATCCTGAATAACAAGTTGGTTTTTCTATGAAGAAAACATGGTTCTAAATAAGATTATATTTATTATTTAAAGGGAGTGTTCTCTAAACATGAAAGGGAGTATGGGCTAACGTCGAATCGAAATCGATGGTAATCGCTATTATTCTTATTTCTACTTAAACAGAAGAACGTAGGATCCATACAAATGCGCGAAGTTGCAATATTTCATTCTGATTGTTAATAATTCAATTAAATTTAAAACTAATCATTCAAATATTAAATCCTGTAAATGTCAAATACAATTCGATACATTCCTATAAAGTTGATATTTCATAATCTTTTTATTCTTTTAATATACGACAAGGATTTCTTTGGCCGATGTGGGACCTCTGTAACGTCCAGAGCAGAGACAAAAGACGTTTAAAGTAAACCTTGTATTGAAAATTGAATTGGTCTTCCAGTTAAACATGAAATGATTAAGCTTACAAATACAAGGCTTAGGAACTGATTACACGCCTCGAACTCTAATTTTCGTATCCTGATCCTTTTATCTGTGTCCATCATTTTGTATCCGTGTAAGTATACTTTTGATATTTCAAACGCTTTCAAACTTGGAATTCTGCTATTTCAAAGAGCCAATTTTTAATCATCAAAAGTTTACACCATCTAGTTGCAAAGATGAGAAATTTGAATTTTGTAGGGATTAATCAGATTCTTTTCTTCATTTTAGTGAATGCACATATAATTTTGTATTGTCATACTTTTCGTAAAATGCATTAGCCAATATCTTTTGTCATTTTACAAATATCACTTTAAATTGTGAAAAATTGTGACCAATTAGAACTCATAAAATATATGTTCTTGGTCCAATGAACCAGCTGGTTTCTTTTCGGAACAGACACTAAAACATCAAGTTCAGGCGTTGCTTAAAAACTTATTATCTTAAAAAAGTTCCGATATAAGTAAAACTTTGTTGGTAAATTACCATAATAGAAAAATGGATTTGGAACTGTGAAAATCATACACCAACTATTGTGACAAGACATATTTTCTTTCCCCTTTGGTTTGACTTTTCCATCCAAATTATTTCTTAGCTCCGGATTTAAAGATTTACTGCAGTTTAAAGTGTTATTTTTTTTATGGCGTTTTTTTAAATCCTGATATTCAATGTATTTATTTTAGTTAAATATCCACACTATTTTGATTTCTCTTCTAAATTCACAATAAATTAAAAAGAGGTGGCGCGCAAAAATTATTGAATTCCATAGAATCGATATTTTTCTTCAATATTCAGAAATTTTACTCAGCAAATATAAAATATATTGAATTGAAATTTTTAAACTTTTTAAAATCTGTTTCGGTCAATTTGATTTTATTTAAAATATAATAAAATCCATGGCACTTTAAAATTTATGTGACATTTTTTATACGACTTATTATCCTTACAAGGTTACATATTTAGAAATCCATAATATTCTAGTATTCAACAAGTTGGCTAAATTATTTCAAGTCTAAAGATTTTTGAAATTTTATTTAAAGGGGCTGTATACTTAATTGCAAGTGCCTGACCCTCCAATGGTGAGTGGCATATTAGATTCACAGCGTTACCCTTTAAAGCATTGTCAGATCAAGTATAAATTAGATATCCATGTTTTTTTTTAATGATTGTTTTTATTTGGGTTTCTCTACAAAAGGGACTTGCGCCTTTCTTTCTTTAAATTAAATGAAGAAATTAACAGAATCTTTATAAGCAAGAACATATTACTTTATCTTTTACATTATTGATCAGAAGAAGGTTTAATGGTTCTGTTGTGAATCCAGCATACCCGTCAAGGAAAATTGGTTAAAATTAAAAAACTCTTGAAATTTAAAATTTTTTTTAATCCGTAAATGCAAACAAAAAAATGCGCAAAATGTTTAATTTATATTTGAAGAAAAATGGCCGCTTAACATTGTTACCAGAAAAAAAGCATAAGGGAAAAATTAAATTGAATACCTGTAAAGGTTATGAAGAAAGTTTTCTGTGGCCATGATATTGTTCATCTGTGCCGGGTCTGAAACAAAATAGTTTTATAACAAAGTTTAAACCAGAGTTTGAATACATTTTAATTAAACAGTATTTTCTATAGAATTTAATAGTATCTAAATCCCTTATAACCAGGAAACTTCTGGTGGAGAAATTCCATTATTTAATGAATAAAAAGTGTTCTAATTTCGGACTTTGTTTCAAACTAGGTTAAAGGGAGTGTTCGAGAAAAATGAAAGGGGGTATAGGCTTACGACGAAGAATAAGCGCTTTTAATCGCTACTAATCTTTTGTTGCGTCTATAAGGAGAAAATTGCTAAAAACGACTTATGCTGAATAACATAGCATCCACCCAAATTGAGAACGTTGTTATATACAACTCAGATCGTAAAAAAAAAATCTATTTAATTTCAAACAAATCATTCAGATATCACAACCTATGGTCATCGATTATTTTTCGTGACATTTGTATGTTAATTTTATATAATATATTTTACTTCTTTTATAAACAATGCACTTTAAACAACGATTTTTTCCGGTAGGTGTCTCTGCCACGTGGAATCATTAAGAGCATCGAGAGCAGAGACACCTGGCGGACAAACTAATCGGCGTTTTAAGTGCATAAAACAAATACAAAATATTATGAAATATCAACTATATGCCAATGCATCGAAAAATAATCGATGACTAAAGGTTGTAATAGCTAAATGATTTGTTGATAAGAAATCGATTTTTTTTCGATTTTATTCATAGATTGCAATTTTCTAAATTTGGGTGGATGCTACGTTATTCGATATGAGTTGTTTTTAACAATTTTCTCCTTATAGACGCAACAGATAGAAGTAAGATTAGTAGCGATCAAAAGCGCTTTTTTATCGCATTAAGCCTATACCCCCTTTCATTTTTCGCGAACACTCCCTTTAAACTCGTAAAGAGACTGTAAGTGTAATTTCAAGTGACCCTCCATGCAAAGATAACAATGCCATATTTCAAACGGTAACCTTGAAAGCTTTGTCTGATCAAGTATGAATTAGATATTCATGATTTTATTTTTTTTAATTTGTGGTTTGTGGTTTCTCTGCAAAAGTGACTTGCACATTCTTACTTACAAGATTTTTAAGATTTTCTTAAAAAGTATTGATCTGATACTGCTCATATTTTTTACCTTACTGCATGAGCCAACACTTGGACTTTTATACCTACTGCCCGAGATCTACATTGAAATCCTATGCCTACGGGGCCTAAAGACCCCTCCCCCCCGGCCCCCCTAGTGTTTTTTATAGATTAAAAAATCTCAAAAAGTATTGGTCTGATATATTTAGACCTATTTCTAGTCATTAGATTTTTAAGGATTATATCTCTTTGGAAAGCCTTTGTGCCAAAATTGCACAATTTTTGCAAAAAAAATTTGCTTTGAATTTGGCACAGACGCCTTTAAAGGGAATTTACACATCTGGATAGTGTAAGAATAGATTGTTCAAGATTTTAAAACTAATGATAAATAATGGGTTGTAATATTTTTGCGAGGATTTTTTATTTTAAACATATCATACAAAATATGATGCAATTAATTAATTACTTTACCAATAAGATCTCTAATAAGATCCTGTATCCATCCAACTGGTTTCCCGAGGCTATCCGTCAGCATACAGGTCAATCCAACCAGCTGAAGCAGTAGGCTGGTCAGCCCGGATACTTGGTCCTATATAGTTGGATTTTTTAATATTATATATGTGCGGCAAATTTCTCACAATTCTAAAAAATGCAAGAAATTTCTATATATTACAAGCTTTAACACGGATAACAAAATTCTGACATAAATGGACTGTAAAGGAAGAATGAAAAGGGGTATAGGCTAAAACCTAATTCACTTAGGAGTTGATCGAAACCCTTCTGAGTTCTATCTGATGTTCCTGTCTCAAGAAATTGATAAAAAAACTGTGTCAAATTAAAATAATTTGTTTCTAAAGTTTTAAACATTTTTAACTGATTCATACAAGTTCGAACAAAGCTTTAAAGGTACCATTGTGAATTGTGAATATTTACGCTTACAGCCCCTTTAATTTATAAAAGGCAATGATGTTGTTTTTAAAAGGCTCAACATTTATCTAACTTATTTTTGTTTAAATCTTATGTTTTCAAACATTAAATCATCATTTAATCATCCGAACGAAACTGTGCTGAACAAGCTCCCCTAGAAGTATGAGAAAAGCTGTACACAGTTACAATACATATTTATAAATCCACAATATTTGCATGTAACTATAGTTAAAATAGTTTTATTTTAAATATAAGATTCAATATAAAGCTGTACATAGTTACAATACATATTTATAAATACACAATATTTGCATGTTACTATAGTTAAAATAGTTTTATTTTAAATATAAGATTCAATATAAAGCTGTAAAAAGTTACAATACATATTTATAAATACACAATATTTGCATGTTACTATAGTTAAAATAGTTTTATTTTAAATATAAGATTCAATATAAAGCTGTAAAAAGTTACAATACATATTTATAAATACACAATATTTGCATGTTACTATAGTTAAAATAGTTTTATCCTAAATATAAGATTCAATATAAAGTGCAATTTACATCATTTTAGCGAAACGTAAAAAAAGATGTCCCGCTGCAAGGTTGTAATGCAAGGAAAGTTAATTGCAGTTGCGTATACTCTGCGTACATATTAAAACCAGTTCTCTCTGGACGGAATTTGTAAACAAGAATAGATGCATCAGTGTTCTTTTAGTATCCGAGGAGGTTAAAAGCATTAGATTTTAATAATTTTGATAATTCACATAACAGTTTTCTAGACCAGAATATTTCATTGATTTTTCAGGCTTCAACATCCGTCTTGTGTTTACATTACCGCCCATTGACAGTACACTGCAGTACAAAAGATGCGTACACCTCTGAAATAACTTTCCTTGCATTAAATCCTTGTCCCGTTGTGGCTTTTATTCTATGTATGTGTACCAGTGATGTACAGATTGCTCTATCATGTTCAAAGTTGACGCGGTACTTGAAATAAACCGGAGTTTCCAGTGGATAGGATCTGAGATAAGTTAGAGTTTTCTGTTAGAATGAGATATCATCAAATTTAAAGTTTATAAACTCGATCAATAACCATACTGCCAATAATTTTCAAAGTTAGGTGTTCAAAAATATAATATAGATCGTACACAAGTCAGCAAATATAGTCTATGTTTTAAATATTAAAGGAGTTCACCATCAGGCTGCAAGGATAAAAGCATTTATACAAATTATTCGTTTGGATGGATTTGCAATGTGCTATTCATTAAAATTGTGTTTAATGAATTTATTTTTAATCACGAAAAATAAAATGTGATTGATTGTGAGAATGTGTTAAATTAGTTAAATAGTTAGTATTCAAATATTTAACCTATTGAAACTACTCAGGAATACTCAATGGGGGCGGAATACACAATGAATACAATGTTTAACAATAAGGATTAGAATATTAGAATATTTATGATTAGGATTAGAATATTAGAATATTTATGATAAGGATTAGAATATTAGAATATTAATGATTAGGATTAGAATATTAGAATATTTATGATTAGGATTAGAATATTAGAATATTTATGATTAGGATTAGAATATTAGAATATTTATGATAAGGATTAGAATATTAGAATATTTATGATTAGGATTAGAATATTAGAATATTTATGATTAGGATTAGAATATTAGAATATTTATGATTAGGATTAGAATAAGGATAAAGATTAGAAAATGATTAAAGAGACTATACTCGTTATTTTAAGAGTGTTTGCTCTCATGCACAAATCTTTCAATATTTTGCCTATTACCCTTTTCAAGGTTAAACTAGAAAAAGCTCAATGTATCTTAAAATTGGAAATGTCTAGGTTTACAAAATAAAAATATTTAACCAAAGGCCAAGGAATTGCGACACTTCAAATACGACCCTGTCTAAATAATTAATGTAAAATTTTCATTGATCTTTGATTCTCTTTGATTTTAAAATGATGTTTTGGTAATACCATGTTTTTCCATTTAAAATTGATTATTTCTAACTGTGGCTTTTTACAACAATTATTTGATAATTCATGCAGTAAGAGAAAGGGAGGGAAAAAAATAAATTACTTCTACCGCCCCAGTCTGAAATATTTTATACAAACTAACAGAGATTACTACTTTATGTATACAGGTATATTTAGGTTAAAATGTTGAAATCGAATTCCTAACTTCTTACCACTATAATAAGTCTAATGCTGAGATTTATGAGAGCACAGAACCCCACAATGCTTTCTACCGTACCAATGCAGCTGCCTACAAATATTAAATATTAAATTGAATATAGCATGCCATTGTCAGATTTACAATTATTGTTCGAAGAGAAACCCAAGGATATTTTTTGGTACTGTTACAAAAAAAAAGCTTTTAAGATTACCGTTGTAAATTGGGTCAGCCCACTGCTAATAGAATCAATTTGAGTTACGTTTAAAATGGTTTTAATGAACCTTTTCCAATTATATTATTATCTTTTTTTATATTAGTTCTCATACAAAGGAATGTTCTATAATCCTTTTTCTCTGAAACCTGATAGTGATAAACAAATATACTTTAAACTTAAATTTGTTGATCTAATAGACATCATAGTTAGAAATATCTAAGGTTAACTACATAAGGTTGCTAAGATATAGGGATTAGAAAATCAGAAGTTGTGGCAAAGAATCAATTACTTTTTGTTAAAAATAAAAAAGATTTAAAAAGAAATAAATTATTCTTTTTTTACACTAAACCTTTATTTTTTTGTTTTATAATGTATAAATTGTGTGGAATTTTAAAACTAGAAAAATTTAAGATTTAAAAGAAGAAAAATTTTAAAATTAATTAAGACCTACCGGCAAAAAATATGTAAATCCCGCTCCAGAAGTTTGTGAATTGAGCAGTGTACACCCAGTTGGTAATTCCCCAATCAAGCCTTAATATATCAAGCAAAATTAGGGGTCATGGACGCTAGGGTTTCCAGTCGTAATTACGTTACGCGTAATTACGCGTAATACTTTCTTTCACTTACGGAGAAGCATTACGCGAAATACGTGTTAATTACGTATACGAAAGAAAGTCTAGTTTCGCGTAATTAAGGTGTAATTGCGCGAAATTACGTAATACGAAACTATTCCGTAATTAGTAAAGTACATATTGATTCTCATAAATGAATATAGCGAGAAAATATACATGTGTAATGATATGCGCGCTACAACCATGTCCAATCTGATTGGATAATTCAAATACTTTTAAATTGAATTAAAATTCGGTGATGGTGATGGACCAAACCTCTGATTGGACCATGGTTACGTTAAAAGTCAGTGAGCCTTAACTTTGAAAACCATTTTCTCTCCACTCTAATAAATATATTTTATAATTCCTATTGGAAACCAAACCAGAGATCTTAAGATAACAGGAGATTGGATATTGTGTTATTGATAATCTACTGAACATGATTCTAAAGAAAATGAAGTCATAGTTCATGACTTTAATTTCATTGCTTTAATTTTGTTTTTCATTTAATACACCCATAAAACCGCTGCAGATGCCTTCACGCTGAAAGTTTAAAAACAAACACCAAAACCATTTCTAAATCTTTTTTGTGTCATCCGGATTTGAACTAGAAAATTGACATTTAGGAAATATCTGATTTTGAAAACGCATATTCGGGAAAAAATCATTTTAATAGATTTTTTTTTCTTTTTTCCCTTTAATCTAGTTTTATTGGTTTCAGTTTTACACTTTTTTAAATAAAAAAATTCTCAAGGAAAATAATGAAAATCCAAAAATATCTACCTTATTTGTTGAAAGTGCCAAACTGAATTCATAATAAAAAACTGCTAATAAACTTTTTAAAAAGCTAATTAACTATGCATTACGAATGATCCTATAGAGTTGTATAATAAGGATATTGTGCAGTAGTGTAACTATGTAATCAATAATGCACTGTGTTGCTGAAATCATGAACTTCTGACACTGTTTGTCAAACTTTTAATCAGCTCACAGATGTAATATCATTTCACATTGCTGAGCAAAGCAAATATATATCACGAAAAATCTAGCTTATTCTTTATCAGAGCAAAACAGATCTGGTTTACGTCATATATAAGAGCACATCCAATTTAGTTTAGTTTATATTAGAGCAAAGCTTATCTGGTTTAATTAAATAAAGAGCAAAGATAATCTTGTTTAGTATACGTAAGAGCAAAGAAAATATAGTTCATATTAGAGCAAATCTGGTTCTGTTTATATAATAACATATAAACTAATTATATGAAAGAAACGAAAATCTGGCTTTGCTAAATCAGAGAATAGCAATTCTATTTTAGTTTATATCATCAGAGTAAAATAATTCGAATTAAATTTATATCAGAGCAAAAAAAATCTTGTTTATTTTATCAGAGCAAAGCAAATCTGATTTAAATTATATCAGAGGAAAGCAAATCTAGTTTAGTTCAGATCAGAGCAAAGCAAATATGGTTTAGTTAATATCAGAGAAAATAAAATCTGGTTTAACTTAAATCAGAGCAAAGCAAATCTTGTTTAGTCTAGATAAGAGCAAAGCAAATTTAGTTTAGTAAATATCAGAACAAAGTAAATCTGGTTTAGTTTCTATCAGAACAAAGTAAATCTGGTTTAGTTTATATCAATGCAAAGTAAATCTTGTTTAGTTTATATAAGAGAAAAGCAAATTTAGTTTAGTAAATATCAGAACAAAGAAAATCTGGTTTAGTTTATATCAATGCAAAGCAAATCTTGTTTAGTTTATATAAGAGAAAAGCAAATTTAGTTTAGTAAATATCAGAACAAAGAAAATCTGGTTTAGTTTATATCAATGCAAAGCAAATCTTGTTTAGTTTTTATCAGGGTAAAGCAAATCTGGCTTAGTTTATATCAGAGCAAAGTAAATCTTGTTTAACCTATAAAAAAACCAAAGCTAATTAGTTTAGTAAATATCAGAACAACAAAAATCTGGTTAAGTTTACAGCAGAGCAAAGCAAATCTTGTTTAGTCTATATAAGAGCAAATCAAATTTAGTTAGTAAATATTAAAACTCAGAAATCTGGTTTAATTTATAACAGATCAAAGCAAATCTGGTTCAATTTATCCAAGCAAAGCAAATCTGGTTTATTATAGCAGGGCAAAGCAATTCTCGTTCAGTTTATATCAGAGTAAAGTAAATCTGGTTTAGTTAATATCAGAGCAAAGCAAATCTAGTTCAGAGTGCAGCAATTCTAGTTTAGTTTATATCAGAGCAAAGAAAATATGGTTTAATTTATATCAGAGCAAAGAAAATCTTGTTTAGTCTATATAAGAGCAAAGCAAATTTAGTTTAGTTAATTTCAGAACAAAGAAAATTTGGTTTAGTTTACATCAGGGCAAAGGAAATCTGGTTTAAATTTATCAAAGCAAAGCAATTTTGTATAGTCTATATAAGAGCAAAGCAAATTTAGTTAGGTTACTGTAACCTAACCTTCACATATAATAGAAAAATTTACAAAGAAATTCTTGAATTTACTTATTCTTGAAAATCAAAAAATTTCACGATGAAAGAGTCCCAAATGATAGTGCAGGCCCATGAAAACGGGAGGGGGGGGGGGCAAACGATCCTTTTCCCAACCCTTTTAGGGTTAAATACAATATCAAAAACATCGATTATGATTTCTTAGCGGCGTATATAGGTGAAATTTTGACTGACTTTATTACTTTGTTCTGTTAAGAGAGTACCTAACATTTGCTAAAGCTTGTGGGCGGAACTTGGAAGATATTAAGATCGTGTTTTAGGATTCTCAAAGTACTTATTTTTCTTGTTATGGCCGTTATGACTGTAGCTCTATATAAATACATATTTGTTAGCCATTTAATGCTAAAAAACTATACCTGAGCAAGATAAGTACAATATATGAATCACCTTCACTCAGATAAAGACAACTTTAAAGATTACCTTAGATAAGTGCAATTATAAAATTTCCATTTACCCGGATAGGTAAATTTTAAAGGTAACCTTAGCAGGATAAGTATACACTATAAAGATCACCCATATAAGAAAAACAAATTATACCTTAGCCAGATAAGTACAACTATAACAATAACATTGTAGAGCAGCTGAAACACTCTGAGCCCAAAATACCTAAAGTATTTAAAGATTTAAAAAAATCATAAACAAACTTATCACCCGGCACTAACTCTAAAAGAACACATGGGCACATTTTCAAGTGGTAATTAACGCTTTCATTTTCGCCATATTTTGCACGAAAGTTAGATTAGTGATTAACTCTAGGAATGTATTTTCAAAATGTAAAAAATTACAAATACAACAACATTTTTCCACATTTTCCTCATTTTCTCCTGATTTTAACCCTATTCCTGCTGGAAGGGGGTCAATTTGACCCCCCTCTGTAGTTTTTTTTTTTACATAACTCAAAAAGTATTGGTCTGAGGCTGTTGAAATTTTCTGACGTTTCCTACATACCCATTACCCAAAGCCCTCCCTTTAGGCCTAACACCAGGCTTTAATACTAACTGCCTGAGTCCTCAGGCGCACTGCCAGAATGACTGCTTTTTCCTGTAACAAACTAAATCTTTGTTTTGACCCACTTTCACTTGTCAGACTTTGAGAAAATTTAGCTTTTTGGAAAGCCTATGACATAAGAAAACGGATTGCACAAGTTTTGCGAAAAAAAAATTACAAATATTTTGCAAACAACCTTTCAAAAGAAAATTTGCACATTTTTAGTTTTTCTTGATTAAAAATCAGGTTATTTAAAATTTTGCAAAACTTTTTGCATATTTGAAATGGCATGGTCAAGGGCTTTTCAAACATGTATAATTTTTCATTTTTTGGACAAATTTTTTACAAACAATTTTACGATATAACTGGATTTTGCGATAAAATTCAATTTTTGCAAATTTGCAAATTTTTTGCAGATTCTAAAAGTAAAGCACAAGAGCTTTCCAATGATGTATAATTTGTCATATTTGGACATCAAACATGGGATTTAGAGGGGGGGGGGGCAAATTGACCCCCCAGCATATCCTGGTTTTCAAGTACCCCAGCAGGGATAGGGTTAAGTACAATTTGATCTTGTATTATGGTGGATAATTTGTTAGATAAATTAGATTTTTAGTTTATTTTTCCTTCTTGTGGTTCCCGCCATTTTCCCCTTGCAAATTGAATTTGAGTTCCTATCTTCATTTTTGAAGTTTTGGATTCAGATCACAATTGTGATTAATTTAATGAACTGAAAAATATGTTTCCCGGATTTTTAACAAATTTTTTCATTGATTTCTTAGATTAAAAAACTTTTGAGCATTGAAAATCTATAAAGCACGAACAAAAAATGCTAGAAATATTTATTTTAAAATAATCTTCTTAGATTTTGCATTAAAATTGGAATATTGATTTAGACCTAAAATAAGTTTTTGGAAACCATTAAAATCTGAAATTTGCATTTTTGGCGGAATTTTGTATTTTTATTTCTCAACTTTATTCTTTTTTACATGTGGGGTGTGTAATGTCACTTAATTATGGTCGTAGATCACATTTTTGCCCTTAAAAAGGGATGAAATGAAAACTTTCCGAATGTATTGTATTTTTACCGATATTTATATTTATACATTTATATATATAATAACATATATCCAACCAATATATCCTATATCTTGGGTTCTTTACATACAGGTTCATATTCCTTTACAACCTGTACATCTCACTTCTTGGGTTCTATAGGTATATATTGATGGAACCTAATAAACCCTGCTCCTTTGTTTCTATGGTCTTTAGAAATTCTTTTAATTACTATTAATTAAAAGTCACAAAATGTCACGATGATAGTGTTAAAAATGAGAGGGCTAGAACAAAAAAACTACAGGGAGCGCCAAACGCCCCCCCCCCCCCAGCCTGTCTAGGGTTAAGATACAATGACCACTCTTTTCTGATTTTCTTTTGGCGGGAAATCTTTCTTGTCATTTGTCGCAATTTGTACAACAAAATAATTTTTTGTCTTGCATAGTAGATTTTTAAGGCGCAAAAGTTTTTTAACCTAAGAAATCGTTGAAATTAATCTTAAAAATCAGGGAAAAATTTTTTTTGTCAAATTTTTATTTTCTGTTCAGAAAGTTAATCTCAATTACAATCTGGATCCAAAGTTTAACCAGAAAAACTTCAAAAATTAGACCTACTTCCAGTATTTGGATTTTAACATTTTACAGCTCTTTGGACTGCCTTTAACAAAAGCAAACAGATTGCACAATTTGTGCAAAGAAATTTTTCACAGATTTTTGCACAGGCGCCTTTTATGGGAATTTGCACAAATGGTTTCCTCATTTGAATTCGCTGGATCCAAGGGCTTTTCAAAAATGTATTGTTTGTTGCAATTTGCGCAATTTTTTGCACTTTTTTTGCTTAATAATTAGATTTCGAAATAAATATTTGGATTTTTGCAAATTTGCCATTTATTTAGCAAATTATTGAAGTAGAGCCCAAGGGCTTTCCAAAAATGTATGAAATGTTATAGATTTGTATCACAATAAGAAAAAAGAGAAGGGGTCGAAATCTCGCGAAAATAGCTCCAAATTAAAGGCGTGAAACCCACTCAAAATTTGAGTCATTTGGCCATTCTTTCTAATACTTAGGAATGTAACCTGATGTGGTGGACCTTATCTATTTCAAACTTTCAATTTTGTTAGAGTTCGATTATTTAAAGTTTAAAATATAAAAGAGTTGGTTCAACAGGTTCAGAATAAAGAATAAAGAAGGATGATATGAAATTTAAATTTTTCTATTACGCCATTTTTATTTATGGAGTTTTTCAATATTTAATTCCTCTTACCAATTCCGAACTGCGGAGTGACTAATTTCGCCTTCTTTCATGTTTATTGTTAAATGATTCTGCAAACATTAATTCATCATTAGAACAAACTAATCTGAAAATATTGTCACATCATGTTTATTTGTATAAACAATGCAGGAATAAAATGTAAATTATTCGATACTTTTTTCTTGATTCTTGGGGAAAACAAAAAACCTACAACTCAATGCCTTTCTACAACAAAATGAAATACAATGCACATTTTTAAAGACAAAATTGCGGAATTTTACTTAAAATTATGTTTGAACCTTTTTTTGAACACTTTTGAAAAAGGACCAAATACATTTCGAGTACATTTTAAAGGTTAAAGCGGCATTTTAGAGCAAAACGACCATCCCCTTTTCCCTTTTTTTTGAGTAATTTTGCTTCTAAAATACATTAGTATATGTAAACGACGTTTAGTGGATGAAATAGGAAATAAAAATAAAAAGGGAACGATCACATTTTCGAATATTAGGATCTTGAAGGTTTAACCCTATAAAGGCTGGGGGGTCTGAATTTAGAGCCTGGGTAGGCGTTTAGCGCCCCCCCCCCTAGAAAAAGACCTTAGAGAATAGGTATAGGGTTGAAATGCATAGCCCAATTTTTCATGGCCAGCTCAAAGAAAAAGAAATTAGACCGATAACTTTAATAGTTTGGGTGCTACGGAGAGTGGATAAAAAATGCCTAATAAAGGGTCAAACAAATATTTTTGTTTTTGTTTTAAACAAATACACGTTTAGTAGGTGAAAAAGGTATTACAAATCTTCGGGAAAAGAGCACATTTTCAAATATTTACTATTAATGCAGTTAAAACGGCATTTTATAGCAACATTTTTCATCGACAACCCATCCCCCTCCCTCCCAATTTACTGGCATCATATCTAAAAGGAGTACTTTTTAGCACTTTTTAGCGGTTTAAACACATTCTTTCTGAGATACTCTGTAAATCTAACTTTAAATTTATAATTATCACTATTATGATATATCTTTTACTGTGCATAGTGTATAACTGAAGGTGACTAACAAACTCATAGATAAGAAGTGTTTACAAATAAACAATAACATCCTTTTAAAAACATGTTCTCACGGTGCATACTGCACTATAGATTCAGTAGAAGAAAATATTTCCATTTACTGATAGAGCTGATTGTCTTTTGTATGTTGTCTCAATTTTTTTATCGAGACAAATAACCTGAATGTTTTCTGACCTCGAATTTTCCGACCAAAAAATGTAATCTCTCTTTAAACGGTCGTTAAAGATCGTTAACAAAGGTTTGTCTTCAAAAACAATAATTTTTAAAAAACGATCTCTTTAAAAACGATAGTTTTAAAAAACGAAAAACAATCGCTTTAGAAAACGAAAAACAATCGTTTTAGAAAACGAAAAACAATCGTTTTAGAAAACGAAAAACAATCGTTTTAGAAAACGAAAAACAATCGTTTTAGAAAACGAAAAACAATCGTTTCAGAAAACGGTAATCTTTTTTAAGCAATCGTTTTTAAAAACAATAATTTAAAAAAAATCGTTTTAAAAAAAGATTATATCGTGTTTCGTTTTTTCTTCGTCGTTTTTAAAACGAAAAGATTGTTTTTCAAAAAAGTGGAAACGATCCATCCCTACACATTGCACATGGATCCACAATCCACATCAACTGCTGTATTGTTCCTCTCGAACACTCTGCAACACTTATTTTTTATAAATAAATGGTAAAATTCGAGAAAAAAAATTAAGTTTTTAACAAAATTAAAGGAACTGTAAAAGTAATTTCAAATGACCCTTCTGGTCAACATGCCAAAGCTCGATTCAAAATGGTAGCATTGAAAAGCTTTGTCTGCTCTACTTTATATGAATTGTCAGAATTAATTACTTTTAAGTCTAGAAAAACGACTATATCTTCCACATTATTGATCAGATAAATGTTTATAATTTTTAAGTTGACCAGTGTCTCCCCAACCTTTAGTACTAATGAGGACATCATAGAAATGTCAAATAAATTTACTGAAACAGTGGTCTCCATCGTTTATTTCTAATCTGGTCTGGTTTGGTTCAACCTTCCACCATACAATATTATCAAGGGTACCGTTGTGAATCGGGCGTTGCTTAAAGTGTCTCTTCAAAATTACGCTTACGGTCTTTTTAAAACAGCACACCAATTCCAATTCCAATATGGAGAATTCTCTGAAAAATGGATAATTTTCCAATTTTGCCAATTATTCCAATTTCCTCGAATGTCTATATATCCTCATCTTGAATCTAGAATTGGCAACAATTTAGTGCGAATATTTTGAGAAAGAAAATTTTACTCAAATTTTGCAATGGTTAACTTTCTCATTTTTTAAATTTTCATAATCCACCATTAGTAGGGAAATACTTCATAATTCTGTGCTTGTTTGAAGTCTGTAGCCTCAACATTTCAAGTAACCTTCAATTTGTAGAACGAACAAATCATTTTTTACGATTGAAAAAAAAAACGAACGAAATGGGTCGTTCACTAACAATGAAAGAACAAAATGAAAGAAAACCCGGACGTGTAATGTCTCTATTCCTAAAATTCAGAATTCTTTTAAAGGGACAGTTCACTTATTTGGGTAATTTCAGGGTAAACTAAACAGCCTATTCGCTCTTGATTGGCAATAGTCTTACTTTTCAAAGATAACTGTGGCCGGAGAAAAAGCCGATTTTTCGTTCAGAATTCGAGCGCAAAGGGACGGTCCCTATCTAGTATCTATAGATGATGTTTTTTTTCAGTATGTTGTGGATCAAAATAAATTTCGAATATAAAATTAAACTGTAGTATCTAATCGTTAATTGTAAATGTCATTATTTTTTTTAATTTTTGTTGTTTTTTAACTTTCTATTTCTAAAATAACACTATTTTATCGCATTCAAAATTGTGTATTGCCTGTGTAAAAAGCTGAATTGAACGCGGCATGACAAATGAAAAGTTGTGCACATGCGGGAAAAAATTTACAAAATCTACGAACCTAAATACGAGTAATGATTAATTGATTGTCGTAGAGACGTCGTCTTTGTATACACATTTTACATGTTTTAATACGAAAAATGTAAATTTCTTGCTAACTCAAATATCAAAAGTTTTCATATCTTAGTACATAATAATAACGAACACATAATGACATTCAAATATAATGAATTTAAATGTTATTGGGCTGTTGTTACTGAAAAAAACATCAAATAGTGTCTATAGAAAAGGACCGTCCCTTTCCGCTTAAATTCTGAACGAAAAATCGGCTTTTTCTCCGGCCACAGTTGTCTTTGAAAAGTAAGACTATTACCAATCAAGAGCGAATAGGCTGTTTAGTTTACCCTGAAATTACCCAAATAAGTGAACGGTCCCTTTAAAACAACACGGTTCTAACCACTCTACAAAAGGTGGGTTTCTAAAAAATTATTCCACAGTTCAATTAACCATAGAGAAATAATATAAAAAATATTCTTTTGTGTAAAAAGATCAAATTACCAATGTTTGAAAATCCCACTCAAACAGAAATAACTAAATATTTATTCTCACATTCAATGTTTGATTTTGATCTTTTGTTCATCTAAACAAATTAATTTAATCTTAATTCATGAAGTGCCAATCAGAACCCAGGGAATTTCGTATCCAACCAATCAGAACCCAGGGATTTTCGTATCCAACCAATCAGAACCCAGGGATTTTCGTATCCAACCATGGAGAAAAGAGAGTAATTACGGATATCCAAAATCTAGAGATCTTGCAGATTCTGCGTAAAATTTTAAAATGTACTTCCACTTGACCGATTTGTCTCAAATTTTGATTGGAAAATTCGTTATATTCACTACAGATTATAGCTTTGTTTGAAAAGTATGAAAGATGTCCAAACAAGCCTGGGTTCCTAAGCTAGTGTCTAAATACATAAAATAGTATTTTCTGTTTGTATGTCAGATCATAACTCATAAACCCCTTGACCGCCGATAGTCCTCATGGTAGAACCATGAGAATTTTCTTAACCTGATTTAACACTTCTAAGTTGTCTTTTAAGTTTTGTTAATTCACTTTTGCTTCAACTCTTTGAAAGCATTGTGAAGTACAATAAACCATGCCAAGTTTTCAAGTTTAAGATTTATTTGAAAAGTTTTATACAGCTTGATATGATGCAGTCATATATCTTGTATGTCATCAGAGTAGAACATACGTTTATCATAAACATTAGATTAGGTTGAACTTTGCTAACTAACTAATTAACATTTTAGTGTTGGTTTAAAGGAACCTGTGCCAAATTTTAGTAACTTGAAAACTAATTTATCTCTAAAATATTAAGACTTGTTTTACTGAAGATTAATTTTATCAACTTTTATATACAAATGAAAATGTAGCTTTAACAAATATTTTAGTCTTTAATGATGGGGGTATTTAGGATATTTCCAAAATAGTTTTTTTCAATTGAAATGAAAATTAAATAAAAATCAACTTTATATTTTGACTTCTGCTTTGTTTCAAAGCCTTTTTGATTTTGAAATATTCATTGAAATAAGACAAGTATACAAACGTTTCATAAAATTACCTATAACACTATTAGTTTGGGACGACGTGCTATAAAGCTTTTGGACTTAAATTTTCCCTATATATCGAAGGTTCTCGCCTTTTTAGATTTCATTTTGTCATTTTGTATTTTAGTATTCAAACATTTCACAAAAACTATTAAGTTTTGTGAAATGGTTTTTATATAGTTACCAGCCTTAGAGGGCGCTTCGCGCCCATCTTCTAAATTAATTGTGAACATGTTCTTTTTGTGTACATCGTAAAACAAAACAAAAATAATTCGCGGATTTTCACAAAAAATTTCGTGGATTTTCAAAATTTTCAAAAATTTAATGAAGATCAATTTTTGATGGAGACAAATATTTGAAATTTTGATCATTCATAAACCTTCCCTGTGGTCACGTGATGTCCCACAAAAAGTTGGGCCCGATCGGTTTAGCCGTTTTGACGTTTATTGGATACAAACAAACAGACACCCAAACAGACAGACAAGCCAAATTTATATATAGATACAGCTGCAATAGTTATTCACGAGTTTAATAA